CCCCCCCCCCCACCACTCTCTCTCTCTATCTACTCCGTACTATAAAAATATACACATTGCAACATTTGATTCTTTGCAGAGTCCCATTTTCTTGATTTTTTTTTTGGTTTGAAACGAAATAAAAAGACCCCCTTTTTATTATAAGTGCGTGGTCCCCAGAATCGGGAAAGATGCAGGAATCCGGCGCCGGAGACAACGGTTGCTCCGGCGGCGGCGTGCCGGAGATGCACGTTCTTGCCGTGGACGACAGCCTCGTCGATCGGAAGGTCATTGAGAGGCTTCTCCAGATCTCTTCCTGCAAAGGTCCAATCTTTCAATCTTCATTTATTTATTTATTTATTTATTTATTTATTTATTTATTTATTTATTTATTTATTTATTTATTTATTGTGGGTGTTTTACAGTGACTGCGGTGGAGAGTGGGAGCAGAGCTCTTCAATATCTGGGGTTGGATGGAGACAAGAGCTCCGCTGCTATGGATGTAAGACTCTAAGGCCTCGTTTGGATCCAAATTTTTATTTCTTAGAGAAAGTAAAAAAAAATTGGGAAGAAATTAAATTTGAGAACTTCATTTGTTTGCAGATTGGTGAGAGTAAATTTTTTTAAAATATATGAATTTCAAGGAGCCAAACATGCCCTAAAGTGTTCAATTTTCTTATCTTCAAAGTTGTCTACCTTTGTTGCTTTCATTCTCTTGTTCTGTTTTAGTTTTTCAGAGGGGTAAAATGGGCATTTTTGAATTTTTATCTGCTTGCTTGAGATCTGATTTTATTTTATTTTTTTTTTTTGGAATTTTAAATTTGCTCATTTTGGGATTTGTTTATTTAATACGTAGTATGTGTTAATTTTTAATCTCAGGGTGTGAAGGTAAACTTGATAATTACAGACTATTCAATGCCTGGGATGACTGGATATGAACTGCTAAAAAAGATTAAGGTCTGTAATACTTCTATATTAATAATAATACTTTATTTATTTATTGGACTGTAATTTGATTTTGTTAAAATTAATTAATCATTGTCTGTTCTTTACTAAACAGGGGTCTTCAGCATTGAGGGAAATCCCAGTTGTGATAATGTCATCTGAGAATGTTTTAGCTAGGATTAATAGGTAAATTTATTTAAACCTTTTCTCCTTTTTTCAAGATTTGACCTTCAAAAGTAGTCAACTTCTAGACTCTTCTTGTGATTGCAGATGTTTGGAGGAAGGGGCAGAAGAGTTTCTAATGAAACCGGTTAAGCTATCGGACGTGAAGCGGATCAAAGACTCATTGTTGAGCTGTGAAAACAAAGAAAACCCGTCTTCTTCGTTGTCCTCCCGGAAGAGAAAACCAACAGATGACTCATTTGCTTCACCACCATTTGCTCCTACCCGGTGTTCATCCGCTGCACTGCCCGTTCCGCACCCGAAACGCCCGAGGTTGGACCGGGATGCGGATTGATTCTTCTCCGAGATGTGATCGGATCCCGGTTTTGGTTTTTGCTGTTTGGGACTCTTCGCCCGATCCAAACCCGGTTGTCGGGCGAACGCGTTCCTCATAGTTATCTGGTCAACCAAGTGGTTTAATGAAGGCCTCTTTTTGGTTTTTTTCCTTTGTTATAGACTGACTACTTGTACATGCTTTGTTACATGTAGAAGCACAATTTTTTTTTGCAACATGTTTTGACCTGATTTTGTTCACTTCATTAAGGTTTTGGTGTTTGGTAGAGCATTCCCAATGGTGGGGAACAAATAAAATTTTAGATCAAATCATATTGGAAATAACTTTAATTAGAATCTAATTAGATGATAAATTCAGACCAGAATTAATCAGATCAAACGAAGAAGTGCCGTAATCTAATTGAGAATTACCATTTTAAGTATTGAGTAGAAAGACATAAAATGATCCAAAAAAGAAATAATCCGATTGAATCTAGGAGACTATGATCTCAAGGATTCACAAAAGAAACTTAAAAGATAGAGAGCACTTACATGAATGTAACAAAGATGAATACTCTTTTCGCTCTTAAATATATTGCATGAAAATTAAAACAATGAAAAATCTTAATTTTTTAAAGTTTATTTTATTTAAAATTGGTATAAAAATAAAATATTTGTATATTTAATAACTGTGTAAAAAAAATTAGAAATTTAGAATTTTTTTTAATTTAATCAAATAATCAATGAAAACACAAAGAAACAAAATTTAAAGTGATTTCGAAAAAATTAATTAAAGTACACAAATAAATACAGTAAAAATTTCACGATTTTGAGATTAGTTGATTCTTTTATTTTTAAATAAATTTTGAATTGTATATACATTTATCTTAGTAAATCATGATAAACTTGTAATTAAAAAATATTTCAAAATTAATACTACGTAATAAATTTGGCTTGAGGTTAGAAAGTAAAAGGATTTTGCTACTTGCACCCCAAATTATACCCCATATATAAACCCACCCCCGCCCCACCCAATACCTCCCCTTCTTTCCTTTCCTGCACCACCCACCCCATACTCTTTCTCTCTCGTTCACCAATCACCCTCCTTGCTTCTCTCTCTCTATCAATATTATCGATCAATTTTACCGCAATATCAGTCTTCTTCGATCGCTGCCCAAAAATTTGCACGGCGCGGGCTCCCCTTCTCCGCCATAGAAGAATCACCACTGTGCCAATCACCCCGATTGCCTACTTTGCCGTCCTCCTTCGTCTGCGCCGCCGCTACCACCGGTGCAACCACAATTTAAAGGTAATGATACACCCTTTTTTTAATTTTAATTTTATGGGTTTTGTTTGTAAGGCCAAATTCAATCACTTAAACTTTTGTAATTGTTGTGATTTGTTTTTGTCAATCCTATTTTTAAAAAAATTTCATTTTTATGCTCGTGGATTGATTTGAGGTTATAACTATTGTCAGCATTTAATTTTTGTTGAACATGTTTGTCAATGACACTGAATGTCTAGGTGTTTTTGTGGTAACATATCTTCTGCCCACACTGACACTAAAATGCTTGTGTGGCTTTGTTTCTCTGCTATACACTAGCACTATATGCTGCTGTTATACAAAATTATACAGAACCTGGCAATGAAGATTTTTTGCAGATTTTTTCATTTGTGTTCTCCTTAAATTATACAGAAATATCATAAAACTGCAAAAAATCTTCATTGAAAAATAGGCTAAATATTTGTTCATGGAGACATGTATTTATTGGTGCATATAGTAAATTAAAAAAATAAATAGGCGCCAAAATAATTAGAGTGTCATGATAGACATTTTTTAAAATTATTAACTGGCTCTTAAATGGTACTTCTATCTGTTCTGGACAACCATTTTTGACAGGGTTGAAGATTTGTGCGTTAGAAGAAGTGTTAAGATGACATGAATGCCAAATGAGTGCTGGAGCAAACTTCTTTTACATTTTGAGTTGATTTTTTTTTTTGAAATTGAAGGTCTCTGCTATGCTTTTGTTCATGGATATGGATCAAGCTTCTCAATCCATACGGACACAAATGACTCTGTATTGTTGCTTTCATTCAAAACACCTACGTTTAGTGCCAATTTTATGTATTTGTGTCCTTTTCTGCTGGGCTCACTAGCATAAGACTCTTGTGACTATCATTTTTTGTTGTGCACCTACACTATGTGCCATGTTTTGTGATCACTAATTTATACTCCGTATATTCTAGTTAAAGTGAACCAAATATGTCTCACATTTAGCAACTTGAGCTCATTGAACCAGCAAATTTTGTGCAAATGTGTACTCATTAAAAACATTGATCTTAGATTATGAATGTTTGTAGGATGACACTTCTCTGTCCATATTAGCAAAATATGACTGTGTGTTATTGTTTTCATTCAATGCACCTACATTCCGTGTCAATGTTATGTATTTGTGTCTTTTAATGCTCGGGTTTCACTAATATAAAAATTTGTTACTATTTTTTTGTTGTGCACAAACACTATGTGCCAATGTTATGGTTTCACACTTATGCTCGAGTTTTGACTAAAGTGAATATAATGTTGACACTGTCCTTGTGTGGCAATTGTTACCATGATGATTATACTGTTAAGTTTCTCCAATGCAAGATGTCGTGTCTTCGGTTTCAAATCTGCTTGCATACAAGCCTGACACATATTATTGGTGTATATCAAGAACTCAAACACATGCATCATGCACTAGTATGGCCAAGAAGAAATCAAACATTAACACATAAATGGATAGGAGGATAACAGCTACACACAAGCAATTTGTGTTAGTATGGGCAAAGAATTGTAATCATACAAATCAAATTAATACTCATAATCTGAGATCTAGATTAACGCATGTGAGGTCGTACACACTGTCTTCCACAGGATGTTATTGGAATCCGAGATGCGTTCGGAGCGCCTAACGGAGGACTCAGAGGAGTAGAAGATTTCCGAAGACTTTTTATTTATTTGAGTCGTAGGAATTATTGTAGGATGACAAAAATATCTTCTCTCCAAAATTATTTTTATGAGAGTTAAAATAAAAATTACGGTGTTTTTAACAAAAACAAGAAGACACAGACATTAAGTGTCGGTGTATTGAAGGGAAACAGTAACACACATATATGAAGTGTCGGTGTATTTAACTGATTCAGTACAAAGCACATATTAAGGGTTGGTTTATTCAACCCAACCAGTAACACTTCCTATGTTTACATTTGGGTGTATTTAATAGAAAAATTAGCACACATACATTAAGTGTTGGTGTGTAGAACATAAACAGTAACACACATCTTCTCCCGGCCATTCCCACGTAGGCAAATTCTCACTTCCTATGTCACCAATGTTTGGACGAAGGGTCATCGATGGCTTTTCAGGGTTTCCCCGCTTGGTCTTGTTCACCTTGAGGTCAACATTACTTTCCAAACCTGCACACCGAGCACTACATGTCAACTCTTCTGTTTTGCACCTACATAAACTGTCTGTGTAGGCAACCCTTGACAGAGTTGCACGTACATAAATGTCAATGTCCATTCAGTTTTTCATAAACAACTCCATATGTACAACTTACAATTTATGGTGTTTGCACTAGTCTCCAAAAACCGCTACAGATGCAAGTCTCCCAATTTATGGTGTGCTTCACATTCATCTCTAAAAAAGCTCACCACATTTAATCAAACTGACATTATCTGTAGGTGAAACCTACATACTACTTCTTTGCACAGACATAAAGTGCTGATGCAAAACATAACAAAAAACAAAATAAATGCCGATCCTGACAATATCTGTACGTGAAACCTTCATACTACCTCATAGCACAAACATTATTAGTGGTGCAAAACAAATAAACTAAAAGCAGAGAATAAATGTCCGACCTAACAGTATCTGTAGGTGAAACCTACATACTACCCTATTGCACTGACCTAATTGCTGGTGCAACATAAGTTTACCTGAAAGCAGATAATAAATGCCTAAGAAAACAAAGTCTTTTCAATGAACGAACACTTTCTGCCTGTTTAAAACTAGACTCTAACATATCACAAACATTTCATGCTAGTGCAATAAGAAATAAATACTAACCTGCGATAAGAGGAGAATGTTGATGTAGCTTCATACATTCTCCCGTGGTTAAGCATCGAATCTAAAATATTCGTTGGGAATGCATCTACCTTGCCCCATCGTTCTTCACTTACCCCACCTTGGTTCATTCCTTTTTCCAATGAAGGCCGTTCTTCAATTTCTTTTTCCGGTGAAGCAACACACCGTCGCACCACTCGCACGCCTTCGCCAGAATGATGGATTCCTTGGGCAGGAAATGGAAGAAGAAAAGGGGGGAAAGATGGGGTGGGTGAGAACAGAGGATATGGGAGAGAAGAGAGAGACAAAACAAGAAAATGGTTGGGTGGGATTAACTTACGCAAGGGTGGGGGTATATGGGGTACACCACTGGGGTACAAAGTGGTGTACCCATAGCACGATTGAAAATAAAATTCAAAATGAATATTCATGCGTCTCAAAATTTGTGCAAGATGACGAACTAGTCGGATTCAACGATCTCTCCAAACTAGTAGCTCCATAGCCGCCGGAAAATCACCATTAACACCGCTATTTTCGTCGATTGCCGCCACGATATTCCCATTTCCGCAGCAGAGTAGAATCGCGACATTGCAGGTTCTTATTTCACTTCTCTATGGACTCATTTAGATCAGTGCGAATACATTGTTTGCTTGTTTGTTTGTTTGTTTTCATTTCTATACCTATTGCATTTCTATTAGTTTTGGTTTCTCCCTAAAACACCTTTCCTGAGCGATCTCTAATTATTTAGGGTTGACTTTTAAGAAATCGCTCATAAGAGCTACACAGATTGCGATTTTGTTGTAAATTCATAAAGTATTATAGTTTACGATTCATTACAATAAGTGCAGTTTGAGTTCAATTTGGTTGGCAACTTGGAAGTTTCTTTGAGCTTATCTTTTGATTGAATTATAATGTGATCTGACCTTTATACTTCATAATTAGTTATCATGGCTTGGTAGATTTGTTTGGAACTGTAATGTTTGTTGTAGTTTTTTTTTTTAAATTTTGTGGATGAATCATGAATCTGATGGGTGGATGTTTTAGTACTTGTACAGGAAGTTGGCATTTTGAGTTTTGACTATTTTTGAGATTTACTTCATGATTGAATTATAGAAGTTGAAATATAAGGCTGAAATATAAGGCTATGCGGTATAGTAGAAGAAAAATGGGGGTGATGGGGCCTTGGGGGGGGGGTGATAGGGTGTAAAAGTGTATGATGTGGACTGATAGAAAAATGTGTGGTATGATGGGTGTAAAATTGAGTGATGAGGTGTGAAGGTGTAAATTAATTTGGTTGGTTAAAAACAAAAACAAATAATCCCCCCTTCACCTGGTGATTGCCGTCACCCTGAGGGGTCGAGCCTCGCCGGCGCGGTGTCGCGCCCAGTCACCCCGCCACATCAGCGGTCACGCCCCCCCATCACCCCTCATACCCCATGGTCGAAAAAGTAGAAATCTGGTAGCTGTACTTGAAATGAGTACTGAGCAGTGAAATTTTTTGATGACTTAACTAAGCATGAATTTCAGGTCGGTGCAATCCATTACAAATTTAGAATTTTCTTATGGTTTTTCATTGACACCTTTATTTAGTAATTAGTACTTACACAACATTACAAAGTGAACAGCAGAAACATTGAAGACTACTAGTGATACATTTGATACAACCTCAACCCGTACCTGGATTAAACCTCATGATGTTTTTTTCTTCTTTCCAAGTAGTGTTTTCAGTTTGAAGGTTGGGCTAAGCATATGGATTAAGTACCAACACGGCAATGCATAGAGTCCGTCGGCTCAATCCATGGAAACAGTGTAAAACCAGATGTAAGTTTGTGCAACTATGCCTTCCCTACACCTTAAAGGTAAATTTGCACGTTTCCTTCTTCTCAAGCTACACTGATATATGAGCATTGCAGTGTGCCAGTGTGGTCAAATTTACCCTTGATACTTTATCATGTGCCATTGTCAGTTGTAGAGTCTGCAACTCCATATTTACTTGAATGAATGCTTTGTATACGACTATATGAACACTAAACAGTGATCTAGTGGCATTAAATATCTAGTCCCTTTGAAATGAAACATCCCAAGTGGGAGGAGTGCATAATCTTATATCTACCATTAGCAACAATATCTTAATTTTTTTTAAAGTTATTGCTTCGTTGACAATGTATAGCTGGTCTTAGCAGAGTTAAACCAGCAAACGGCTGCCTCAACTATTGAAGTCATATAACCCTAAACCACATACACAATATGCCACAACAATCGATGTTGGAGGCTGCACATGAAATTGCCATTTATGTTCACAGATTTCACAATCTTGATCTATTCCAGCAGGGGTTTGTACCTATTACCACACCCTTCTGTGACTGTAGTATACCCAATATCCTTGATGTGAATGTCTTTTTCCTAACCTTTTTTATTATTTCTGTTGCGTGTATAGATGGTATCAAATAAAGATAACATCGAAATGGGAAGATGGCGATTATGGAACTCCATCAAGAGTTTTTCAGTATGAAGGTAATTGTCACCAAGGCCTATTGCTAGCTGCATGATGTCTTCAAATGGAATTTTGTAGTATGAACTTTGAAGTAAGCAATTTAGTGTTTGCTTGAATTGTAATAAGAAACTAGCAGATACTTATCTTAGAACTGAGAAAGCTAGAAACTGAGAAAATCAGGTGGATTTTGTGGATACAAGACACTATATGCATTGGTTCTGAAGCAGATTGGGTTCTCTAGGGAATTCTTTTAAGCAACTAACATTCTCAATAATATTTTTCACAAAATGTATGTTCCAGATGCCATTTACATTCTAGACCTCTTATATTTGCATTAATTTGTACTCCGTAGTTATCACTAATTATGAGCTTTCTGCAGATTTTTGTGTGTGTGTTTGTGTATTGTTGTGCACTGAAAATCCTTTCCCTGGATATATCTTTCAGATATGCATATTCTAATGAAATGATACCATTTGAAATCGACCATAAGATTTCATCATAACATCTTTGCTCGCTTGGGATGCAGTTCCTGAGTTGGGTTCCGAATATGTATGTGGAATGTGGAGGGTTGATGAAACTGATTTCTTCACACAGCCTTTTCGGATCAGATATGCAAGGCAGGATGTATTTCTATCAGTGATGGTCTGTTTCAATTTACCCATCACCAAACATGTGGTAAATTTTCTGCTTTCCTGTTGTAGTCCCATTCCTTGCCATGTCTCCCATTAGCTATAAGTCTATAACCCACTATAGGCATCTAGAACTATGTATGCTTGCTCTATTAAAGATCAATAACATGTCTTGGATGAAGAAGGCTCTTGATGGAAAGAGTGTACATACTACACATGATATTTTAAATGCTTTGTCACAACTATAACATTATAATAGGCAAATTTACGGTGTGCATTTATATGGATTCCGCATGTAATTTTTCTTCGAGGTCTACCTAACAATTTGATGCTGCATCTTGTCATCTTGCCAACTGACAAAACTTTTTAAATAGCAGGGTCCATCCTCACCGTCTGTTATTTTGAAATTTGAGCTTTTTTATGCCCCTATTTTGGAGAAGGGGTTAGTTTTCTTTATTTAATATTTCCTTCGCGTTTCCTCTCAAAGATGGGTTTTTAATATACTTTTGGTTGTTAAGACCACACTTCAAACAACATAAACTTGAACCAAATTTGGTTTTGTTTTTCACAGTTTAATAACTTCATCACAACACAGGTTTAACTTACAGGACTCATTTGACACATGCCCTGCTGCAGTTCATGAATTTCGGCTTCCCCCAGAGGCTCTTTTGGGGCTGCATTCTTTTTGCCCAGTTCATTTTGACACTTTCCATGCCATACTTCTTGATGTAAGTGTACACATCAGCCTGTTGCAAGGTAGTGCTGGTGCCTCGGGAAATGTTCCAAGGTTTGTCACATTTGATATTTCTATGTTAATTGATACCATTAATTGCATTCTTATTGTTTTATGTATATCTAGTGCCAACTAAATTTGTGAGAGAGAACTTTTTGAATTAATTTCTGGTTTTTGGCCTTTGTAGTGATTCTTTCGTTGAAGATGTTTTTATTGAGGATCATGATAGTTCCACAAAAGTATGTTCTATGCATCTTTAACTATCCTTCATGTTTTTCTTCCGTTGCAGTCATAAGCAAATTAGATAATTTTTGGAAGTAACATGATTTGATCAATGCTTTGAAATATAATGCAATTGTTCTTGTGGCTACTGTGAAACATTTCAAACAGTACAAAAGGCTAGAATGTCACGCCATCATGGCATGAGGGTATGGTGTAGGACAGTTGCTCTGTGTACTATCATTCACTCAAATATGGTTATTATTTAAGTGCTAACCTTGAAAGCATGTTTTAAACATAATCTGAATAATACGAAGTACTGAGTATTTATTTTGACAAGTGGAAAATTTGGTTGAAAGGTACCAAGAAGTAGGACAATACGAAGTAACCAAAGATACTGCTGAAGTATTAAATCTGTCTACACATTCTACCAAAGAAGTAGGATAATAATGCTACCCTGTACAAAACTATGTTTTTTAATTAGCCAAAGCTAGTAAATACTCCCTCCATCCCAAAATTATCTTCTCACTTTTTTTTATGGATGTCCCAAAATGATCTTCTAACTCCTTTTAAGGACAGAAGTGTGTGGTTCATATTATCTCTCCCCTTTGCATAAACTTCAACTACACAATTTCCCTTTTCTTGAACTCCGTGCCATTTTCTCATGACCACATGAAAAGATGAATTTGGGACAAAGGGAGTACTAAAGAGCCGTCCATTACCAATGGAGGTAAAAGAGTCATTATTGACAGTGTTTTAGCTTCAAGAAAACATTGGGCTAAATAAAAAATACTCCGTAGAACATTAAACTTCCATTGCTTCTTATTTTCTATGACGTTTTGGGCAGCAAAGAAAGCAATGCACCAGGGGTATAACAAAAACAACCTCTCTGTTTTTTAACATGGGTAGGATGGCGTACTTCTTTACCTCCATACCCCAATAGAATTGGCGTTATTTTGGGTTTGTTGTTGCTGCTGCAGCAGTAAGTACTAAAGAGTGCCCAAAGAAGCTGTAAACTATTGAATCTAGTGCAATTGCATCCATTAGATTGAAAACTTTAGTTTAGCTTTGATTTTATAAAATGTAGATTGATTGCGTCGAACTACATTCTAAGATTCATACAGTATTTTTGCAAGAATTGATAGTGGAAGTGAAATAAGAGTAATTTTGGCAGATATGGGTTTCAAGGATGTAGCTGTTGAGCAAATGATTAGGCGGTAAATATGTGCTCTCAATATGGCTTGCATAAGATAAGATTATACCCTATAAATGCAATAAAAAATGTGTGCTCTTAGTCTACTTGCATTTTTTGTCTTGATCATTTTGCTTAAGAACTTCACGCAGTATTTCATTGAAGTTGTACTTGGTTCATTTTTATAAGTAGGCACTGCTGAAAGGACTTTTGACTGCATGCAGTAGACTTCTTGCAGAAGTACAAAAAATGAGCAATGCGATCAATCAAAATATTGATATAAATGATTTTCACTGCGCGCTTGAGGATAACGGACCTAGTGTAGGTTCTGCCTCAGATAATCTTGACGTTTCAGTAGAAATGCCTATCAACAAACAAAGTGATCCTGAGGTTATTTCTTCATTTTGTAACTTCAAGTTATCTTCTTTTCTGACAATCTTGCCTTAGTTTGCATCTCTGTACTTACGTTTACTGCTAATGTGCTAATCTATTGGTTACAGAAATGCGTGGGTGTATCTAATCTTCGAGATGAAGTTCTTGATTCTCTATCCAAGGACGAGCTACTTTCTTTGTTTCATTCATTTGGCAACCGGGTACTTTACTTATGGGGTATATTTCAGAAATTTCACAGGCATGTTTTCACTTGACATATCTCTCATAAGTCCCATCTTTAAATAACCTTGTGTCTGTACTTGATCCTTTAGATATATGAAATTTGAAGAATATGACTTTGAGGTTTGAGAAACTGGCATATCATGAGACTTGGCCCCTAGGCTCATTATGCTGCACATCTTCCAATGGGGAATAGACTGAGAATCGCTTCCTTTTAAAAGTTCTACTGCTATGTATATCTTTGTTTAATGAATTCAGTTATGGATTTACATGATAATTAGGAACCAAGACTATGAAAGTATTAATTAAGAATAAAAATCAGTGGATTCCCCATCCTGACTTGACCTAGAACAGCTCAATTGTGGAAGGCCTACTTTGTCCACTTGATGTGCGAAAGGAAAAAAAATGATATCTGATTGGTGAAAGGACTCTGGTTGAAATACACATGTAAACTTTCATATTACTTAGAATTTAACTAGGGTGACCCAATGCGATCCCAACTCCTTTGCGGTCTGGGGTTCAAGATGTACGTAGTCTTACCCTGTAAAAAGAGAAACTGTTTCTGCATCACTGTATCTACTGCCCAACAGTTCATGGAATGAAAGAAGCTAGAGAAGTTAAATGTGTCATTTTGATTTAGTCCATTATGTGCTCGACCCTTGTCGTCGGACCATTCATCAGACCCTCGCTAAACAAGGAATTTCTATGCACTGGGTTGCCCTTTTTTGTTCTTACACTTTTTCTATTATTTCTGCGCAGAGATCACAAAACATTAATTCTGGGTTTTCTTAGAGAACAATGGGCTCTTGATCGAAGATCTGAATGGTCAATATGGATGTTGTATTCTGAATTTGAAAAGCCTCACCAATTCATAACTAGTGAAGTTGACTGTTCATCCTATCATGGAACCTTTGGGAGACCACCTGCTCTGCAAATGCTAACTGCGGATGTAATTGGATTGTAACTGTATTCTTATTATACATTTATAGCTATGGTTAGGGATAATTCATTTGGATCCCTCGAAGATCTTTTGATCAACAGATTTACAATGTGATTATGGGACCCTTCAGTTTCCTTAACCATTTTCTCATAGTCCATCATATTAAAAATGCCTTGGATGCATGTCATATTTCCTAAAGAGCAGAGTAGGTTATACAACTCTCTGTTTTGTCTGAGGATATGTGATTGTATTTCTTAAAATAAGGTGTTCCAAGTGATAGTATCCCTTTTTATGTCTGCTGTAATTTTTCTTCTTGCATCTACCCTGAACAGCCTGTCCAAACTGCCACAAAGCGTGCCGAGCTTCACAGGCAAAGTATTTCCCAAATGAGGGTAAGTTCTGTACTTTTTATATATAAGGTACTCTGTATAAGTTATAACATACTGTATTGTCATCTTCTTCATGCAAGATATGCCTAAGCAAGTATTGCGTATTCCAGATTACTAGTTGCTCCATTCAAGATATGCAAATATTTGGAGATCTGTTACGCACCCCAATTGTGATTGTAGAACGTTTTCTGATATTGCCATTTCCCTTAAGTAATGGAAATTCTTACACCAGCAATCCGGACCAGAAAGACACTGATATCAAGCTTTCTCAGGTTGGCTCCAAACCCATTAAGAAGCCTGGAAGCCTTGGTCGAAGTGGTCATGTTCTAAAAATTGTCGTGTTTGTCCATGGATTCCAGGCAAGCAACGTCATCCCATTACCTGTTTGCTGCAATTCATTTATCATCTCAGACTATCAAGCAGTGGTGTATTTTTGCTGTATAATTTCCTTTTGTGTTTTAAAATGTAAGAATTTTTTCCACTCTCGACCCCATGTGTGGGGGGGGGGGAGGTCAAAAGTAGAAATGGCCTAATGATCGTGGGGCCCGAAGTGGGAAATTTTCTAGAATGTAAGTGTTATAGTTCTATAGTGTCTTTTGAGCAAACAACTTTTTCTTAATCATCTTTCCTTAGAGTTGTTGCTTTCAATCAGTTAATTGAGTATTTAGTATTTACTGCTGCAATATAAATATGTGTGTGTGTGAATGATTGAAGACGTCTCTTACATGATCATGCAGGGGCATCATTTGGACTTGAGGCTTATTAGAAATCAATGGCTCTTGATAGAACCTAAGATACACTTTCTTATGTCGGAGGCTAATGAAGAAAAAACTTCTGGAGACTTCAGGGAAATGGGATTAAGGCTGGCTCAAGAAGTAACTTCTTACCTTAAAAAGAAGTTGGACAAGGTGACAAGATCTGGAAATTTAGAAAGCATTAAGCTTAGCTTTGTTGGGCATTCCATTGGAAATATCATAATAAGAGCCGCATTAACTGGTATGCATGTCTATGCAACTCTTTTATGCCTCCTTCAATCAACCCAGAGAATCGTACTAATTTTTGCGACCACTTTTACAGAGAGCATTATGGAACCGTATCTCAGATATCTGTATACATATGTTTCTGTTTCGGGCCCGCACCTTGGTTATCTATACAGTTCCAATTCTTTGTTCAATTCTGGGTTGTGGGTTTTGAAGAAGCTCAAAGGAACACAGTGTATCCACCAGCTTACCTTTTCAGACGATCCCGATATAAAAAACACATTTCTGTATAAGCTCTGTCAGGTACTACCGGGTATCATTCAGTTTATACACTTTAACCAAACAGACAGTAATTTCTGAAGTTCTAATTACGCACTGCACTTTCGGTTGTCTTTTCCAGCAAAAGACGCTGGAAAGCTTCAAGAATATTATTCTGTTAGCATCTCCTCAGGTAATATTTTTCAACCTTATTTTTCACAACGCATTTAACGTAACGCTGTTTGGTTTCCATGTCAACGTATGCATGTTGATGATGATGTATCAGGATGGTTATGTTCCATACCATTCTGCTAGGATTGAGATGTGCCAAGCATCATCAATCGACAATACGAGGAAGGGAATACTATTTATGGATATGCTAAATAATTGCCTTGACCAAATGTATGCTCCCCCATCATCATCATCATCATCATCACGCGAGCAGCATTGTCGGGTTGTCATGCGATGCGATGTTTGTTTTGATATGTCGTTGCAAGGCCGGAACCTGGATACCGTTATAGGAAGGGCTGCGCATATTGAGTTTTTGGAGTCTGATATCTATGCCAAGTTCATAATGTGGTCATTTCCCGAGTTGTTCCGTNTCTATGACTGGAACTACCTTACCCTTGATTGGACTGATAAACAAGAGATGGATTATTCATTTTCAAAGGTTTATGGTGAATACCAGTACATAAGAAGTACTACTTCATATATATGACAGTAGCCTTTTTTGAATGAAAAGGAAAAAATAGTCATTTCGTGTACTCCCCCCATTGATTTTCCCATTATGTGTTACAAGGTTTGACCGATTTTTTTTCCAATTTAATTTATATGATAGGTCTAAAATTTTAAAACAAATTTTTTAATTGTAACAAGTAAAACTCCATGAAAAGTTTCGAATGCAAAACAAGTTGTAACAAGACTATTATTTTATGAAATAAAATAGGTAATAAAAATAAGTAAACAAAGTGAATAGTATACGAGAAGATCTATGAAAGACATAGAGAGTATTTGATTTCATAATGTTCAGTTATTTGTAAACAAATAAACTTTTTTTATCAAGTATTTGTAAAAAACTGTGGGAGTACGGAGTATTGTTTTTCGAAAAGTGGAATATAATGGCACTACTAGTGTAGTGAAATTTGAAAAGTGTGACATGGTGGCGTGGATTCATTCCCTCCCATTTCTTGTACACCTTGATCTTATTTAATGTGTTTGAGAGCTTGATTAAAATTTTCGAGGCATTCCTCTCCATTTTCCCCATACAATTTTGGCATGAGATTCTCGACAACATCTGCAAGTGTGATTCTAGTATATGTCATTAGCGACTCTATCGATCCCAGCTTGGATGATCCTCCCATTCTAGTAGTTTCTTGCTAGCACTTTGAATCCCTCAAAAGTTCAATAAGACAGTTTGATGTGCTTGTCTAGTATTTTGTCTGATTTTGACTTTTTGTAGTTAGCCATTTTTAACATTTGACCTATTTTGACAAAAAACTCAAAAGTAGATCAATATTCTGGGGCGAAAATAGTAATAAATATGAATAGTAAATGATTGTACTTTGTATATAAAAAGTCAAAATTATCATTAAAAATAATTTACCAAAAAATTCATTTTTTAATATGAGAATTATCTAAGAAGATATAGGAATTAATAAGTAATTTGAAATCACCCAAAATAAGAATAAATATAACATCTATCCTCAAAATAAGAATTTCATGTTTTTTCTCAATATACGAGTTTGCACTGTGACATAATGACATTGTATAGTGATATTATATATTGGCATTATTAGCATTATACTCTTATTTTGGAAATAAAAATTTGAAGCTCTTACATTATTAAAAGGGATGATAACTTCGAATATCTTTTTAATTCCTATCAGTGTCGAATATATTCTCGTATTAAAACTTAAATTTTTTGATAAACTATTTTTTGTGGTGTACAAATTTTTATTTTTTATAAATAAACTACAACTATATATTTTTCCTATCTATTAATTTTTATATTAAAAGTGATTTCAAAAGAACAAATTTTCCAAAAAGTTCTTTATAGCGGGAGAATTTCCATATTTAGTCCCTATTATCAAATATTATTTTCGTGATCCTTATTGATTGGATACCATTCCATGTTTGGTCCTTGTCTAATGGCACGTAGATGGAAAAATAGACGAAGGACTAAACGGGGAATGATAACCAATCCATAAAGACTGTCTATTTAATACGGAGTATTTGATAAATGTGGTAAATATGGAAATCCCCCATTTATAAATGACTATTTAGAGACTTTACTCTTTTTTAATAGGGCACATATTTTAGATCACAACACAGATTTTTAAAAGTGAATTTTGCACTAAATAAGACTAAAACATAATGACTTTTCTAATGTAGGACTTAAACTTTTTTATTCCCTAAATAGGACTTAATAATGACATAGTGAGAGAAATAATGTCCAGTAATGCTAGACATTTACTTGAATAATGACTACTTGATAATGACCAAAAGTCCTACATTAGGAAATAAAAACATATGTTCCTATATTGGGAAAGTCATTATGTTTTAATCCTATCTAGGTAAATTTATCTTTTTAAAACACACCAGAATAGATTTAAAGCAAAGTGCACCGATTTTTGCACAACACAATACAATCACTTTAGCTAAACGTCCACGTGATTCAATACATTCATTTTAACTAAACATACAATGATTTTACGGAATAGATCGCTGAAAGCAAAATAATAACAAAGCTACTATATAATAAAATGACCAAAAACATACGACATAAAACAATAGTGCAATATAGTGGCACTACTAGTGTAGTGGTATTGAAAAGTGCGATGAGGTGGCATGGACCCTCTCACTTCCATTCTTCTACACCTCGATCTCATTTAATGCGTTCTTTTTCGTGTTTTAGAGCTTGAATAAGATTTTTGAGACGTCCCTCTGCACTATCCTTGCACGATTTTGGCATGAGATTCTCAACAACATCTGCAGGTGTGATTCTTGTCTCCGTCATCAGTAACTCTATTGATCCAAACTTGGGATGATCCTCCAATCCTAGGTAGTTTCTTGCTAGCACTTTGAATCCCTCAAAAGTGCAATAAGACAATTCGATGTGCTTGTCCATTCTCCCCCTTCTTGTTAAAGCGGGATCCAACTTCTCGACATGGTTGGTGGTGAACACAATTACTCGTTCTCCACTGTATGTAGACCACAAACCGTCTATTACGTTCAACAATCCAGAGAGAGTGACTTTGCTTACGCCCCTGCCCCCTTGGGATTTTGAGGGTGGACATTCTTCGTTGTTATTCTCAATGCTGACTCTAGGGTTTTCCATCGAGTTTTTGTTCCTATTTCCAGTGATATCAAGCGAGCAATCAATGTCCTCTATCACAACGATCGATTTACTCGTTGTTTGTGCCAAGAGCTGTTTGAGCCTGGTGTTGTCACCAACGGAAGCCAACTCGAGATCATAGATATCATAATTGAGCAAGTTTGCCATTGCTGCGATGACAGTCGATTTCCCTGTACCCGGAGGCCCATAGAGCAAATACCCGCGCTTCCAGGCTTTACCGATCCTTGCGTAGAAATCCCCTCCCTCTTTGAATGCAATCAAATCATCCACGATATCTTTCTTCTTGCCCACATCCATCGCGAGTTTCTCAAAGCTAGCAGGATGATCAAACACGACATGGCTCCACAATGTCTTGCGCAAGCCATTATTTGAGTAAAGCTTTAGCGTTTTGGATTGTCCGAGAATCTCGTTACCCTTCCGCAGTACATGGTTCAAGTAGGTGTGGGTCATCAAGTCCCTGTATTTCTTGTGGAAAATGAGCTTGTAAGATCTATTCTCCAGCTCGGGATCCCATTCGTTCCTTTTATGGTGGGGTTGAAGCTTTTTATTACAAGCTGCAACCCACATCACCTCCGCGCCGCGAAACTCATCATCGACTCTCCGAGTTTCATCCACGCCCAAAGCAATGCCGCCGTTATCGGTTAACTCAGCCTTGAGTCTGGCGCCTTCTGTGGCGGACTTGGTGGTGCTGAGATAGGCCTCCACGGCGGCATAGGCGGGGTGAGGACTAATCATGTTCTTCTTGACGTACTCGTGGATGGAGATTTGAACGTAGGGGTTGAAGAAGGCATTCAGCTTCTCCGACCACCGGTTGAGAAGGCGGAGCAGCCCCACCGGCAAATGTTTCCTTACCATTCTCAAGAAGAAGAGGAAGGTAGCAACGCCACCGCCGGCGGTTCCCCACCTCCTCAACACAGCTTCCATTGATATATATATGTGTGGGTGTGTGTGTGTGTTCAAGCAGTTGGTTTCTCTCAATTGATGAGTATTTTCAATTGATGCATGTGTCCCATATATATAATGAGAAAGATACGAGATGAAAGATAAGTTAAACTATTTATTTTTTATTTATGTATTCCCGTTTGCCTTGGTAAATCTTCTCATTAACCCTTTTAATTTGTTCACCATAGATTTTTAAGTACTTTTTTTAATATTTAAAATATATCACAAATATTTCCACTTTATTTAAATTATTACAACTCACCCCTCTCATGTAATATACTTCACTCATTTTTATTAAGGATATTTTAGTAAATCTTTACTTTTTTAAAACTCCTTTAAAATCACAAAAAATTAAAATGAGAAAATCTTAACGAGAGTTATGGAGTATAAATTAAACCAATTTAAAAAAAGATAAGAAAATGAAAATTTAATGAGGGAGGGAATGATCATTATACACGGTATTAATTTCCTTTTCTCTATGAATTTGTTGACTCGATCATATGAATGAAGATAAAATTTCTCTTTGCGAACCAGGTAGTACGGAGTATTATTTCCTCTCTCCTTCCAAAGTAAAGTACTTCATCCGTATAAAATATTCATTTAATTAAATTTTTATGATCTTTAATATTATATATTGATCATTAATGTCTGTAATATTTTATAATAAACTTATATTTTAAAATTACGTTTCATTAAAAATATATTAATATCAAATTTATATCGTAGTACAATGTACTTTTTTCATAAATCGAAATTAACGTTTACAAATTTTGACCAAGAAAAATCAAATGTGATATGGCAGGAAGCTCGGATCATGTTATGACATTTCAAAGCAATGTCTCTTGAATCGGGCTGTTAAAATATAAGTTGAAAGTAATTATGTACTCACGCGTTTTAAAATTATCTTCTCAAAACCTATCCATCCAAAGACAAAAATGTCAATTGGTTTGGGTGTGGATCTTTTTCCCATCAGAACCAAGAAATTTACAGGTGCTTCTTTCTTAACGGAAATCTCGACACACCAGAATATGTCAAAGAGAACGTCCCTAACCAAATCATGTCGATCGGTACTTAAATCTGGGTAGTTATCTACTCCCTCCGTTCTTGAAAAGAGTTCAACTTTTGACTAAGTGGTAAAATAAAGAAGTGTTAAATTGTAGTTGATTTCCAATTTTACCCTTTATGTGATGAATAGATTATAAGAGGCAAAATATGATGTTATAAGTAGGGTAAGAAAAATAGGGGTAAATGGGTTTTGTAATAGAAAGTGAAAGTGTTTTGCTGAAAATGTAAAAAATGAAAAATGAAGTGTTTTTGAGAACTTTATAAGTATAATATACTGTATGCTCTTCAAATGAATCCAAACAGAGCATAGTACAATGTACTCCACCGGCGTTAATAAGAATAAGAATAAGAATAATAATAATAATGTAAAATTATAAAGAACGCTTTATTGATTGAATGAATAGAAGAGGAATACAAGATATGTATTTATAGGTGGAGGAATATATTCTAGAATCCTCCACATTAAATACTAATTATATAAGGTAATATTATATAATAATAACTCTAACTATAATAGGTAACAACCATAATTATAATATATAATATTAAATATATTAAATATTTGATATATTTAACATGCTCCCAACGTCCT